GCAGAAGACCTGGGTTTGAATCCTAGCACCCACATGGCAGCTAACAACTGTCTGTAACTCCAGTTCCAGAGGGTCCGACAGCCTCTTCTGTCCTCTGCAGGCATTGCACTACATGGTGCACTTACCTACATACAGACAACACATGCATACACATAAAATAAAAATAATAAAATATTTTTTAAAAACTATTAGCAATGCCCTTAGGGTTAAATTTCTAAATGTGCCACAAAGGACAGCTTTTGTTCTGCTCCTAATCTTCCTAACCTTTATTATGAAATGAAGGTCCTGTGTGTTCTGTGTGAGGGGCTACCCACATATGCTCAACTAATTATGAAATTGATACCGTTTTTATATTTTATTTATTACTTTTATTTTACACGTGTGAGTGTATTGCCTGCATGTATGTTAAGTGCATTCATGTTGTGCAATGCCAGCAAAGGTCAGAAGAGGTTGTTGGATCCTCCTAGAACTGGAGTTATGGATGATTGTTAGACGTCATGTGGGTGCTGGGCATCAAACCCAGGTCCTCTGCCAAAGCAGCCAGTGCTCTTAACTCTTGAGCCATTTCTCCAGCCCAGAAATTTATATCTTTAGCATCTAGAAAACACTTTCTTAATGAAAACACCTAAGTAATCACATCTCTCCATCCCTTCTGCTAGCTCAGCCTAAGGTACACGTGTCGCCCTCCAAAGGAGGGACCCTGAACCATCACAACCTGCTCGTCTGCCAGGTGACAGATTTCTACCCAGGCAACATCCAAGTCCGCTGGTTCCGGAACAACCAGGAGGAAACAACTGGGATCTCAACCACCAACCCGATCCACAATGGAGACTGGACCTTCCAGATCCTGGTGACACTGGAAATGACCCCTCAGCGGGGAGACGTCTACACCTGCCACGTGGAGCACCCCAGCCTGGACAGACCCATCACCGTGGAGTGGAGTGAGTTCCCAGTGACCCTTCTAGACTCACGTTCTATACAGCAGGCAGCGCCCTGGCTGTGAGGTCCACTCATCCTGCCTGGGGTGTCCATGCATGGGGACCAGATCTCCCCCTGTGCCTCCTTCAGGGCACCGAGGCTGCTTCTGAGCTGGAGGTGATGGACCGTCACTGTCCTAGGATCCTACAGATTCAGGATAGGAGTGAGTTCCCAGTGACCCTTCTAGACTCACGTTCTATACAGCAGGCAGCGCCCTGGCTGTGAGGTCCACTCATCCTGCCTGGGGTGTCCATGCATGGGGACCAGATCTCCCCCTGTGCCTCCTTCAGGGCACCGAGGCTGCTTCTGAGCTGGAGGTGATGGACCGTCACTGTCCTAGGATCCTACAGATTCAGGATATGCCCTTGTCAGGAGGTCTAGGGAGGCAGACGTTCTCCCATGCTGTCCTCACACAGGGGAGCTGTGTCTTCCTCAGCCTTTAGCCTGACCTGTCCTGCCTCTTAAGGCAGTGGGTAGAATCAGCCTTGTCCCCACTGAAACCAGGTCTGGACCTTGTAGACCTTCTACAGCATGAGGTCCCTCATGCTGATGTTCCACATCCATCCAGAGGCCCTGAGCTCTCACCTCCTGGAGGTGACTCTAACCCTGGATTCTGCTCTCCCAGGGGCCCAGTCTGACTCTGCCCGGAACAAGACACTGACTGGAGTTGGGGGCCTGGTGCTGGGGCTCATCTTCCTGGCAGTGGGCCTCATCATGCACGTGAGGAGCAAGAAAGGTGAGGAAGCCGGGTGTGGAGGGCACCCTGTGTCCCAGCACATGGGATGCTGGGAAGGAAGGTTACAAGTTCGAGGTCGGCCGCAGATACACAGTGGTACCCTGGCAGGTGGCTGAGGCTTGCCATTCCCTGACGTACTCACCTGTCTCTAGAAGTGTCTGAGACAGAAAAGTAATGCTGGAGAGTTCTAGAAGGCACTGAAACCAGTGTTGTGGCAAAGTTGCTCTACGGGAAGAGGGAAATCCCAGGCTCGGGTCTCAGCCACCAGACATCCGAGTCCCAGGTGCACGGGCTTCCACGGGGTCAGTGTAGTGAAGGCAGTGGAGGTGGGTGCGAAGTGTCCCCTGCTCTGCTGCATTTTAACAGCGTGGTCTCCCTCCGTTTCAGCTCAACGAGGATCTCGATAAGCAGGTAAGATCCCTGGTATGCTTCTCTGAGGGAATGGATGGGTCGCAAAGGCTCTAAGGGCTTCTTTGAAGTCAGAAAATCCCAGGCCTGAGTTTCCCTTCAGTCTCAGCCCTTGGGGGCATGTCGGGGAAGAGGGTGACTTTGCTCCACTGAGGAAGGAGGCCAAGATGAACTTTATTTTTCAGCCTAACACTCGCTCCTGTTACTGAGCAGAAGAGGGGAGCGGGGACAGCCTGCACTAGCTTGTTCTTTCCCTCCCCACAGGCTTCTTGATCTGACCTGAAAGACTGCGCGTGTGTGGCCCAGAGGCTGGTTCTGGGTCCGATCTCCAGTTTCCCAAGAGGATGCTGCTGCCGAGTACTTCTTCAAGTCCACAGTTCTGCTCTCCTGAGACCGCCAACCCAGTCCCTCCTCCTCAGCTCCAACGACAGTCAAGATCAGTGCTGTCATCTGTCCCTTTTACGAATGCGGCCATGTCGTCTCTGCCATATTTTATTTTCCTTGAATCATTAACCTGCTTTTTTATCATAATTACAAATGTTGGCTAACAATTTATTAGCAAGGAAAATAAGCATAGCTTTTATGACCAGATCAGTGTGTGTGTGCGTGTGTGTGTGTGTGTGTGTGTGTGTCCGTTCATGTACGTGAATGCAGGTGTGCACGTACCCTGCACACACGGAGGTCAGAGGACAACCTCAGGTTTCAGTCCCCACTTTCCACCTTACTTGAAATATGGTGTTGTGTTTGTCCTCTCTGTACACCAGGCTGGCCATCCCATGAGCTCTGGGACTTCGCCTATCTCTGCCTCCCAATCCCACAGGAGGGCGAGGATTACATGTGCTCGACCTCTGACTGTAGGTGCATCATGGAGATCCAAACTCAAATCTTCATGGTTGTACAGCAAGAACTTTTACCTACCAAGCCATCTTCCCAGCCACCAGGCTATTTAAGTGTTTGTTCCCATGAGAAACAAAGGGACGCCCAGTACCTGCCACACAGTAGGACACGTCGACAATGAACAGATCCCTTACGAATAGCTCATTACTATCATAACAACTACATAGAAAGTAAACCTAACGTATAATAAATATACTTTAACTCATTCATACACCACAAACATCAAAATAGAAAGAGAAAAATTGTACCGACTCGCTTAAGGAAAACATCCTACTTATTAAACCCACTTGCTGCTGCATAAAGAAAACACCAGAAAGGGGAGAGATGGCTCTACGGCTAAGAGCACTCCCTGCATAAGATTCCTTTCAGTGCGAGCTCTTGCTTGAGAAGGAAAGGAACTGAGAATTTGAAGGTTTTTCCTTTTACTCATCGGGCATCTCTTCAGTACCAAAGGCTTCTATCTGAAAGTGACGGAGACTAAACCATAGTTTACAGTCATAGTCTTTCTGGTTCCCTGAGTTGATCAATCACGCACTAGAAGTGAACTGGACTATGAAGGACTCTGAAGATGATCGCACATACCATTTAACATAATAATATGCTTTACGGTTAGTGTGCTTCTCCCCGAGTCTCTGAATGCCTGTGCTCCCAACTGACGTTCTCCACGTTCCTTAGCTGTACAGAGTTTCTCTCTAGTGTCAACCTTTTCATTTACTTGTGAAAATTAAAAATGAACAAGGGCTTTCCCACATTCCTTACACCCATGTTTTCCTCCACTATGAGTCACTTCATGTACTGGAAGTGAATGGGAAGAGCAGAAGGCTTCCCCACACACCTGGCATTTATAAGGTCCGTCTCCAGTGTGTACTCTCCTGTGTTTTCTAAGGCTCGTAAGAGAACGGAACGCTTTTCCACAATCCTTGTGTTCATAGGGGTTCTCTCCGGAGTGAGCCTTTCATGTCTTTGAAAGGCGAGTGATGGCAGGCTTTCCCACACTGCTTACGATTAGACGGTCCTTTCCATTCCCTACCTCTATCGCTGGTACTCAGTACCAGGACAACATGGCTGTGAGAACATGAGTGGCACATGAACACCGTTCCAGGGACACTACATTCCGACGGTTTTACTCTAGTAGTATAGAGATAGAGAGACAGAGATGGTAAAGACTTGGAACCTGGGTAATATCTCCATAGTTATGATGCGCCTCACTTTCACGGGCCTCCTCTGAAATACATCTTCTCACTTTCCCATAGAGGGCATGTCCCTAAAGGTTTCCCACATAACATTTCTGTCTAATTTCCTCTGTGAAGCATCTAGCAATACCTACGACACCAGGGTAACATTCAAAATAACATCCTCAAAGGTTATTGAGTCCTTTTCCGCCTCCCAGAGTGCCCTGCTGTCCTCTCCACAGTGTCACAGAAAACACAGGCACTGCACAGCTGACCAGGATCCCCTCATGATGACATCTCTTTCCTTCTGTTTAACTTTTGGAAAATCTCTAGATTTCATCTTAAGGCCACGGCTCAATGTTTCAGCCACTTCATCCAAAACAAGCATTTTGATCCATTTTGGAGAAAGATGTCTTCTCTTTAACATATCACTCTCCCTGGTAAACCAACACGTGGGCCTGTAACTTCTGCATTTCACTGAAACATTTCTTCCTCCAATGCCAAAGTGACAAGTTGCTCCCATATAGTCTCCAAATGTCAAAATCACCTTTTGGATCTGTTGACCCAGTTTTCTGATGGGGCCAATACTAATGCTTGGCTGTCCTTGAACTCTGTCTCCAACTGTTGCAGGATGGAAATGGCAGATGTGGCTGTCTTGTCAGTACCTGACTGAGCTTGGTCCGTCACGACATATCCTTCAGTACCAGGAACGGTAACTTTCTGCTGAATATCTGATGGATGCCTCAAAGAAGAGACGCCCTTAAATTCATATCATCAGAGTTACCAACCATCTCATTCCAGTTGATCTCAATGACGCCATTGGGGTCCATCCGCTCTGGGTCTCCATGTTCTCTTCCCCAAAGGCTGAGGGTGTGGGCAGGAAGATACAAACCCCTTCCTCTCGGGCCCGAGTGCCAGGTGCTCTCAGCAGTGAAGCTCTCAAGAATGTTCTGTACGCTGAGCTGCACTCTGAACTCTCAAGATTTATTTTAATTTGTGTGTGTGTGTGTGTGTGTGTGTGTGTATGCATCTGTGTGTCTATGCATGATGTGGGTATGCCACAGCCTACATGTGGAGGTCAGAGGGCAATTTGGGGACTTGGTTCTCTCCTTCCACCATGTAGGTAGCAAGGATCAGACTTGGTGATAAGTACCTTTACCTGCTGAGCTGTTACATTGGCCCTTGGATCATATTGTTTATTTGGTTTTTTTTTTCCATTTATCTCTTTCCTTCTGCTCATGTCACCATACAGAGCAGACACTGTGAAGTCCATGGCCAGTGTTTCTCAGTGGGCCAGTCCACCTTGCACATTGTGTTGAGAGAAATAACCACTTGTGCAATAGTCAGTGTCTCCTACAGTCACAAAGTGCATCCAACCCCCATTCCTTTTACGACATTTATGTAAAACTGTGATTCATTCCTTCAAGGGCCAATTCTTCCTTCTTCACCAGCATTCAAATCGATTCTCTCATGAAGCAGAGGCAGAGGAGGGGAGATGAGCGTTCTACAAACACAGGGATCCTCGTCACAGAGAAATAGGAAAGGATGGGGCTGGAGAGATGGCTCAGTCAGTGAAGTGTTTGCCCTGAAAGCCTGAGTTCAAGTCCTCAGAAGCCACATAAAGCCACCATAACCCACATCTGTAACCCCAGAGCTCCCACAGGGAGATGGGCGGGGGAGACAGGATCCCCACACCCTCACAGGCCAGCTGCCTGGTGTGCACATCGGCAAACAAACAAAAGACCCCGTCTCAAACAACGTGGAAGGCAAGGATAGACATGGGAGGGTGTCCTCCTCCCTGCACACACGCACACCTGCACTCACATACAGGAACATACACATCACACATACACAAAAGATGAAAATTTTTTAAAGGGGGAGGATGATAGGTAGGAGATGGAAGAGGCTACGGGGAGCACATCTCAGATGTTCTTTGCGTGGACAGTGGGGACACAGTCCTGGGCTGAGAGTGAGACTGGGTAGGAACCACAAGGACGACCTAAGATAGTGACAAAGTAACTGGGTGAGGTGCTGGCCAAGGTGAGACAGGATTGGCCACAACTATAGGCTGTGCATCACACATTGTTTCCTTTACTGTAATCCATGGCCTGGATGCAGACAGCCCTGGGCTCCAGCCTGACTCTGGGTGAGTCACCCGAGACAGAGCATCCCAAAGAGCTGTGCTGGGCACATTCTCCTGGAGACCTTGACAGCAGATTCTCCAGAATCGCTGCCCAGGGGCCCACGTGCAGGAGGTGGTGAAATCTGGAATCTGTTTCCAGTTAGCTTCCAGGGATCCTGTGTAGCCAGGTAAGTGGCACCAGACCCCAAAGGTGGTGGTTGTTTTAGACAGTCTTGCTACAGTTCAGACTGGATTCAAACTTACCTTCCACTTATCTCAAACTCTTGAAATTTAAAAATTTTCCCCTAAAAAGTGTCTCTGCAGTCTCAGTAACCAGGAGGCAGAGGCAGGTAGATCTCTGTGAGTTCCAAGCCAGCCAAACTACGTAGTGAGACCCCATCTAAAAAGGAGGGAAGAAAAGTAAGGAGCTGGATCAGTGGTTAAGAGCACTGACTGCTCTTACAGAGGACCCAGGTTCAGTTCCCAGCACAAACATAGCAGCTAATAACTGTAATTCTAATTCCAAAACCACCTTCTGGAATCCACTGGCATTGAACAGACGCATACACATAGACAAAACACTCATACACCCCCCAAAATTAAACTTTTGTTTTCTTTTTTTAATATTTTATTATTTTTATTTTATGTGTATGAGTGTATTGCCTTCATGTATGTGAGTGCACCCATGCCATGCAATGCTGCGGGGGTCAGAAGAGGGTTTCGGATTCCCCTGGAACTGGAGCTAAGGACATTGAACAGACGCATACACATAGACAAAACACTCATACACCCCCCAAAATTAAACTTTTGTTTTCTTTTTTTAATATTTTATTATTTTTATTTTATGTGTATGAGTGTATTGCCTTCATGTATGTGAGTGCACCCATGCCATGCAATGCTGCGGGGGTCAGAAGAGGGTTTCGGATTCCCCTGGAACTGGAGTTAAGGACGGTTCGTGGCCACCATGTGGGTGCTGGGAATCAAACCTGATGGCTCTGAACCGCTGAGCCATCTCTCTCTCCAGTGCCCAAAGAGTTTTGTTTTTTTTAACACCAAAAAGAATCCCTGAAATTCAGACTTCCCTTGAATTCTGTGGCTGGTTGGTTGCTTGCTTGGTTTGGTTTTTGGTTTTTGGTTTTGTTATAGGTTTGGTTTTAGTCACATTAAATCTTTGTACCATTATAGGAATTGATTTGACTTTTTGCCAAAAGAAATTATATTTGCTCTTGCAGGCACTTGGTAATAACTTTGGAGAAATCATTTGCTATTACAGAAATAGAGAGATGAAAATAGTAGTTATTTACTTTTAAATTCATTTTTATTTTTTAAGTTGTTGTGGGAGGGATAGGAGATGGGGGCATTTGGGATGTGGAGGTCAGAGGATGACTCATGGGATCCAT